CCTAATGCTGCAGCCAGTTACTAACTAACCAGTCCCCACGCGACCTCTCTAGTTACACCTTATGCTGCAGCCAGTTAGTAACTAACTAACCAGTCCCCACACAGCACCGCTGTCCTTCAGGCGGTGGTCCTGGCTCACTCCCCTCACCACCCCAGAGCACGGGATGGCACATTTCCTACAGAGGCTGCTTGATAAAGGTTTGCTGAACTGACTCCGTGTACCAAAGGAGACCGGCATCTGGTGACTCGTATGCGAGTGTGGACCCTCAGATCTAGGGCTATTCACCAAAGACCAAGGAAATGGAATTAAGTTGTGGAAGTCTGGAGGCTAATAACGTGAAGCGAGTTTTCCCACTGAAATGAATAGGGCAAATAACGTGTGGCATTCCTTGTCCTCACTAATGATCGGATCAGAACTATGGGCCCAGCAGTGAGTCAGTCCAGTCATCATGAACCTGAGATGAGCCCCATTCCATGGATGCCTAACTGAGCCTTCCAAAACTAACCACATTTGTGAACCGAAAGTATGCCTACCAGGGGCGGTAAACCCAGGAGACTCAAGGGAGCCGTTGGATTGTGTACACAACCTGACATCCATTCAGAGTAAAGATTCTAGGGCTTCACCTCTCAACCGTTCACCTGTGCTGTGAGCAGGTAACAACTGGGCACACGTGCAGGGCTCTCCAAAGGTGAGGCAGTGAGCAAAACAGACCCTACAGAAACACTGATCACACAAATCACAAACAAGTGCAGTTAAGAATATGACATCACAAGGGAACTATTTCTTCCTTCTTTCCTGGGCCAGAGGCACAACCCCAACAGCGAGCAGACAGGCTTGTCGACTGTTAAGGCGAGTGGCTGACCCCAGCTAATCTGGGCTTCAGAGAATACCCTGTACTGCATCAACTCAAAGACAACCAGCTTCCCCCAGCTTGGGGCTGTGGGTGCACACCAGATGCCAGCAGCAGGGCCCGTGGCAAGGTCGCTCCCGGCAAACAGTCTTGAAGCTTACGAAGCAGGCACATGGTATCTCAGGTCTCATCACAACAGCCTTGTGAGGGCTGTATTCAGAGCATCACTGTACAGATCAAGAAAACGAGGCCCAAAAAGGTGAACAAATTTCCCACATGGAAGCCAGTGGTGGGAGCTTCAGACATGTTCTCCAGCTCCAGGTGCTCATCCCACTCTAGACACCACACAGCCTGCTCCCTCTGGGAAGCCTATACCGGGGCGCCTGAAAATCCCTCCGTCTACAGGATCAGAATCACATGCTGTGCTTCTTCCGCACAGGTGGCTGACTGGTTTCGCCTGTAAACATGGGGTTCGCTTGCTGTCAGGGAACCACCACCACCAACAAAACATGGGCCTTGGCCATTTTTGATTGTTGGGATGTTCCAACTAGCCTGTGCTCTCCATTCCATTTCCCTCGTCTTGACAGTAGGGTTAACAGCAACTGCCCTGCCTCTCACACAACTATTCTAGAATTAGATGAGGTAACGTGTATGAAAATAGTTTTAGAACGTGTAAAGTTACCATTTTAGCCTTGGCAATGGACTCCAAATCTGACCAAATCTGATGCAGGCTAGTTTCATGTGGCACTGCAGACAATGTACTGACATCGTAACTTTACGCAGCCTCCTGTGTGAGGGATCCAAGACAGCAGAGAGAACTCGGTAGATTCCCCATCTGGGAGACTGTCAAAATTCGAGGAAGACTGATAAATAAAGCTAGTAACGCACCCTATATTGTTTTAAAAGCTCCCAGCTTGAAAGTCGTAACAGGGAGAGAGCAGCCGGAGCCAGTCTTGGTGGAGGTGAAAACCAGCAGCCAGCTGGCAGCCACTTCTAGAACCAGCAAAACCTTAGCCCCAGAAGTTTTTGCCCCTCCCAAGTGCACAGACACCCTATCTTTCTTTTCTCACATGTAGATAAAGGCCTAAGAAAAGAGAATGAACGAGAACAGGCAAATTAAGGCCCTCCCTGACTTTGCTCAGACAAATAGTGACTGAGACAGAGAAAAAATCTAAAAAGCTACTGAATCAGAGGCATGAAATGGTTAGGGATTAGCAGGGAAGGTTCAAAAGTGCTGCTGAGCTACTCACACATTTAAAGTTAATTTGAACTGTATAAACAACAAATGAAAAACAAAACAGATAAATTGGACTTCATCAAAATTAAAAAACCACCCAAAGCAATCTATACGTTCAACGCAATTCCCCATTAAAATCCCAATAGTCTGTTTTCGTAGAAATAGAAAAGCCAATTCTCAAATTTAAATGGAATGGCAAGAGGCCCTGAATAGTCAAAGCAATCTTATAAAGAGACAAAGTAGGAGGACTCATACCCTCTGACTTTAAGACATACTACAAACCAAAAAACCCAAATCCATTATATGCCTAACAGTGCAAACACTTTGTATACAAGAGGCACGAGCTACATGTGTTGCCTGCAGGAAGCTGTTGTGTTCACCTCATCCAGTTACTTCCACTACATCCTGTTCTCCAACCGCCATTTCTGAACTCTATTATAACCTTATGGAACCACGGACGTATATGCGGACAGACATTGCCCAAACGAATGTTATGTGGTACCTGACTAAATTTTAATCAAGAAATGTAAAATAGTGAGGTGGCGCCAAGATGGAGGAGTAGTCAGACGCTTCCTGTGGTCCCTCTTACAACAAAGATCTGAAAAAACAAGTGAATCAATTCAAACCAACAGATAAGAAACCACCAGCCTTCTGGTTAGCAGCCGAGCGCTTAACCACTGTGTTACCAGGGCTCCTTGGGCAGTGACTAGCCCCCTTCAGTTCCTAAAATCATAAAGTTAGTTTTGAAGTAAGAGGGACCAAAAGTAACCTCCATGCTCAGGTATTTCGAAAAGCTATTTCTGAGGAAGATGGTAACGATTTATTACTAAGCTTTATCTTCAGGATATAAAAACATCTATCGATTCTGTACTCTGTACCAAGTGTTTCACATACGTTTTATCTCCAATCAACACAGCAATCTTCAGGGTAGGTAAAAGTAATCCCATCTCACGGATGAAGAAGAAAGTGTGGCTAGAGTCTAACGTCACAGAGTAGGAAGTGGTGCAGCCTGGAATTGAACCAGGGCCACCTCCAAGCCTGTGCACTTCAGCACACCACAACCCATGTGGGCCACGGGATACAATCTGACTGATGGTTACACTGCTTTTCGCTTCAGAAACAAACTGAAGATTATTTAAATGACTGCTGTGTTTTAATGAGAACAGCAACTGATTCTAACTAGAACGAACAGAGACTACTTTTCCCTTCTCTCCCAGTTGAAAATTGTCTTTAAGCTGACACTTAGATGATGCTGGTAAGGAAAGAGGTTTTCCCAGCACGCTGCAGTGGCCACCCCGACACCATAAATGCTCTCGGCATTTCCAAGCAGCTGATTGATGTCAGCCATTCCAGCACTCAGGTCCCCGGCAGACCTCAGGACTTACGTACCCTCATGTCCCTGCTCGTTAATTTCTTCCTGGAGATTCAAAACGCTGGTGAGGTTAATAATCCTCCTCCGAGGGGCACAGGCTGCTGTTATTTCCTTTGGAGACTCGTCTTCCACCATTTCTACATCAGAGTCCTCCCGAGGCCTCTTTCTGCAACGAAAAAAAGCAACTGGCAGATCATCGCTTTTCTTCTGAATGTTTCTAAGTGACACACGTTCTGTGTGCGGTATTACAGAGAAGGGATGTTTAAGTGAGCCACGTTCTGTGTGCGGTATTACAGAGAAGGGACACTCAAGTGAGCCACGTTCTGTGTGCGGTATTATGGAGAAGGGACGCTTAAGTGAGCCACGTTCTGTGTGCGGTATTATGGAGAAGGGACACTTAAGTGAGCCACGTTCTGTGTGCGGTATTATGGAGAAGGGACACTTAAGTGAGCCACGTTCTGTGTGCGGTATTATGGAGAAGGGACACTCAAGTGAGCCACGTTCTGTGTGCGGTATTATGGAGAAGGGATGTCTAAGTAAGCTACGCTCTGTGTGGTGTAGTACAGAGAAGGGATATGTAAGTAAGCCACGCTCTGTGCATTGTATTACAGAGAAGGGACGTTTAAGTGAGCCATGCTCTGTGTGCTGCGTCATGGAGAAGGTAGCAGCTCTTCCGTGACCGCTCTGCGCATCTGCATAAGGCATGCTGTGCTGGTGGCCGACCAGCAAGATCTGCTTGTTCTCCTCAACACTGGTTTTCTGATAATCCTCAGATCTCTGCAGCCGGCCGTGCAGCTGCACACAGCAGGACTTTGGAGTCTAGCTACAGGGCCTTGGGCAAGTGAACTGACCTTCCAAGTCTCATTCATTCATTCCTCCATCTAACTGTCCATCAGACAGTGTTACGTACCAGCTACACAGAGCAATGAACAAGACAGACAAGGTGCCTGCCCTTATGAGGCTTCACTTCCAGTGAGGGAGGGAAACAGCAAACAAAAACGATAATTTCATATTGTGATGAAGTGCTATGAAGAAAATAAAACAAAGTAATGCAACAGAATGGCGGGGAGGTGGGAGGAGGGGCACTTTAGACTAAATGGACAAAGGAGGCTTCTAGCAAGAGGCCACATTTCAGCTGAGACCTGAGGGACAAGAAGCCAGGGTCTTCCTAGACTGAGGGAACAGCAAGGGCAGAGCGGGGAAGCAGCTCAGTGGGTTTAGGAACAGCCACCAGACCAGTGTGGCCGTGAGCGAGAGGGAAGTGGTGGCTGGAGGAGGGCAGGGTGAAGGACTCGGGTTTCTCCCGAGTGCAGTGAGGTAAAAGGTTCTCAGCAAAGGAGTGACACAGTCTGATTTCTAGTGTAAAACGGTTCCTGCGACTGCTATGTGGTAAATCATTAGTGGTGTCAGTTCCCCAAGTGATAAACAGAAGCACAGCTCTGATCCCACTGGACTGTTGAGAGCACTGAATGAGATGATTGTGTCAAGCACCTGGCCCACAGCAGCTACTCAGTAAACATGAGCTTCCTTTACGATTCTCTGGGAAAAGTCCTTGGAGGTCATCCAGACAGACTGACTCAGAAATGAGTAAGATGGACCGCAGAGAGGTTAAGTAACTCATCCAAGTTCAAATGGCCAATTAGTGCCAGGGATCTGTTACTCAGCAACCAAACCCATGTGCAACCTTGGGCAAACACCTTAACCCTGAGCTCCAGGCTCAGTACCTGTACACGCTGAGAAAAGACCTACCTTTCAGATCTCAGTGAGATAACTTCTGTAAATTAGCTCCAAGATGCATGCTGGGAATTCTCACAATTAAATGGCAGCCTTTCCTGTTACTGTATCTGCTCCCTTTCACCGCTGGCTCATGCGCTTCGGGGACTTTTATTAACCAGACTGAGAAAGTGTGCTTCTTCTGAAAGGAGTCCAAACAGCTTTGGACAGAATGAAAGTGAATCCTCAGGATACTTTAGGCTTTTCTGTTTAGCCATGCCTGGTGTTAACACTTTATCAAAATTCTTTACTAAAAATAAAGCCTCAATCTTCTGATTTTTTTCTGATGAGTTTTTGACTAATGATTGGAGCTATGGATATTCAAGACATTTCAAGGACACCGTGGTGCACGACTCTCAAGGCCATGGTTAAGGGCAGACAGTGGACAACGCCACAGCTCTGGCCCCATGGAGGCAGAGGGCAAGTCAGGCCGAGAGAAGATGCAAGTAGTTCGTGAAAAGTAAAAGTCAGAAGGCAGTTTTAATAAAGAATAGAGGAGGCAAGCTGCGCTTTCCCCGAGGGCCATACCTGGGAACGTCTGGACTCAAGGTGGGCCCCCTCTTCTCTGTCGTTTCCGAAGGGCCCTTTGTTGCCTCCTCCTCAAAGCCCTGGTTCTTGGCAACTACTTCAGCAGGGGCTGGGAGTTCGAGCATCTCTTCATCTTGCTGCCTGGTCCTGCCACTAGAACCATCTCTGCTGTCCTCTGGGACTAGGGCCTGGGGCTGGCTGGACACGGCCTTGCTCACAGGCTGCAGAAAGGCATCAAGTTTCTGTTCCCGGGAATCTGTACGAACCATCTGGTGGGCGTAGACTTTGTCTCCACTTTTAGAAGTAGAAGAGGAGGTCATACCGATTGTGGACTTAACCACCTCACCAGAGGGGCCAGCAAGTCCTGGTAGCAAAGTCTGTATCAAAAAAGAAGATAATAGGATAACGTAGAATATGAAGTACAGAATTCCAGGTCCCAAAATGGAGTATTAGAGAAGAAAACTAGAGCCAGGTATAATTTTGATTACAGTTTTAATTGTAGGAGCAATTCTGACTAAAATTAAGTATAACATAAAACATACATAAGTACAGAGAGTAAGCAGGAAGATGGTGGCTGTCATGGATTGAACTGTGTCCCTCCAAAAGTATCCGTCAACTTGGTTAGGCCATGATTCCCAGTACTGTGTGGTTGTCCTCCATTTTGTGATCGTAATTTTATGTTAAAGAGGATTAGGGTGGGATTGTAATACCCTTACTAAGGTCACATCCCTGATCCAACATAAAGGAAGTTTCCCTGGGGTGTGGCTTACATCACCTTTTATCTTACTAGAGATAAAAAGAAAAGGAAGCGAGCAAAGAGAGGGAGACCTCATACCACCAAGAAACAACAGCCAGGAGAATAGCACGTCCTTTGGACCTGGGGTCCCTGCGCTAAGCAGCTCCTAGTCCAAGGGAAGATTAATGATAAGGACCTTCCTCCAGAGATGACAGAGAGAGAATATGGACTTCTAGCTCTGACTAGACTCTGAGAGAATAAACTTCCCTTTGTTAAAGCCATCCACTTGTGGTATTTCTGTTACAGCAGCATTAGATAACCAAGACTGCAGAGTAAACAGACCATCGTTCTGACCCTCCCCCACAAACACAAGAAATACAACAAGGAGATGGTGCTTGGCTTTGAGGGACTCTGAACTGGGGGGCAGAGGAAAGCAGCGGAGAAAGACTTACCAACAGATTTAATCAGGCAGAAGAAAGAATCAGTGAATTAGAGAATATGATAGTTAAAATTACAGACACTGAAGAGCAACAAGAACACAGGCTCAAGAAGGCTGAGAACAGTTTAATGGAAGTATGGGACAATACAAAGAAACATACGCATCAGAGGAATTCCAGAAGGAGATGAGAGAGAGAGAAAGGGACGGAAAGACTATTTGAAGAAATAGTGACAGAAAATTTCCCCAATCCAATGAAGGACATGAATCTACAAATCCAAGAAACTCACAGATCCCCGAACAGGATAAACCCAAAGAGATCTACACCAAGATACATCATAGTAACGCTCTCAAAAAGTAAAGATAAAGAGAGAATCCTGAAAGCAGCGAGAGAGAAGCAAACAGTCACATACAAAGGATCCCCAATAAGATTAAATGCTGATTTGTCCTCAGAAACAGTGGAGGCCAGAAGGCAAATGAAATGATAAATTTAAAGTGCTGAAGGAAAAAAACTGTCAACCAAGAACACTATATCCAGCAAAACTATCCTTCAAGACTGAGGGTGAAACTAAAACATTCCCAGACAAACAGAAGCTGAGAACGTTCATATCCACCAGGCCAGCCTACAAAAATTACTAACAGGAGTTCTGTAGATGGAAGGGAAAAGACACTAGAAAGTAATTCAAAGCTATACATAAAAGGAAAGATCCTTAACAAAGGGAATGCATGGACCGGTATAAGGGCTAGTAATAAGGTATTCACGCTTGATAATTCTAAATGTTTTGTCCTTTATTTTTTTAAATAACAAATATATAAAAAGCAAGGATAAAATTATGTTACAGAACACAAGAAATAAAAAGACGGAATTAGCGATAACAACAACAAAGAGTGGGGGGAAGGATTGGTATAGATACATAATTTCTTTTCTGTTACTGAAGTTGGTACCAACTTACCCTAGGATATTATAAATACAAGCTCTTAAATGTAATATTCATGGTAACCACTAAGAAAATATACAAAAAACATACACAAAAGGAAAGGAGAAGTGAACCAGAAAGGCTCACTACCATAAACCAACAAAACCCAAAAGGAAGCAGCAGTAAGAGACAAAGAGAAAGAAGGCTTAAGACACAAAAAACAACAAAATGGCAGAAGTCAGTCGCTTCTTATCAGTGATCACAGTGAACGCAAACGGACTAAATGCTGCAATCAAAAGGCAGAGAATGGCAGAATGGATAAAAACATGATCCAACTATATGCTGTTTACAAGAGACACACCTTAAACAAAAGGACACACTCCCCACCAGCCAACCCGTTTCCAGGTCCTGGCAATTCTAGATTCTCAGCCGTTAGTGAGTGGAGCTCCTCCTGCTGTCCAGACCCCTCACCACTTCTCTGGAATTGCTGCAGGTTTCCACTGGCTCTTTTCCAATCCCTCTTCCACACTGCGGACAGACAGCTCCTCGTAACACCAATCTGCATCCAGTCCAACTCTAAACTCTTTATATGCTGAAGAAAACCTCCTCTGTTTGCCCTGAGCTCTGCAGACTCAAAGCTCAGCACCGCTGCCACTCCCAACAGGCCCTCAGTCAGGCCCAGGGTTGTTTAACCTTGACTGCACATGATACCATGTGGGGAAGCTTTTTATAAATACTGATGCCCAGGCTCCACCCCAGGCAGGTGATTTATTGGTCTACAGAGGGCCCAGGCATTGGTATTTTCTAAAAGTTCCCCAGGTGACTCTGATGTGCAGCCAGGATGGAGAACATGACCCACCACCTAACTTTAGATCCCCGTGTATGTCCTCTTGCACCTGTAGGCCTTCAACGCTGTCATTTCCTCTGCCACGAACTCTCTCTCTCTCTCTCCTCTCCCTTTCTGCCCAGCTAATTCCTACTCAGCCTTTGGATTTCAGACTCCATGTCCTTCCTCTGGGAAGCCTTCCTTGGTTCCCCAGTTGTCCGTCTGGACTGTCCTGAGTCCCTCTCGTGGAATGTACTCTCTGGGAGGCCGTGAACACCTCTGTGAAGGCAGAACCCGTCTAGGCTTCATCCCCAGCACCCAACACAGTGTCTGACCCATTGTGAGTGTCACTGCATATGTGGGGAGGGAGACAGAGAGGCTGAATAAGAGTGGTAAAGGGCACTGAGACACAGTCAGCAACAATAACAGCCTACTAATAGCTACTGGGCACTCCCTATGTATCTGATACTGCTCCATGCTTTACCCACACTAAGCACATCAGCCCTCTCAGGGGATGTGTGTGTCTTCAGCTCGTCCATGTGCACAGTAAGGGTTTGTGCACTTGTTACCTGTACAACACCTTGGGGTAATATTGGTACCAAAAAACAAAAAAAGCAAACCCACTGCTGTCAAGTCAATTCTGATGCACAGGGACCCTATAGGACAGAGTAGAACTGCCCTATAAGGTTTCCAAGGGTGGCTGGTGGATTCGAACTGCTGACCTCTTGGTTAGCAGCCAAGCTCTTAACTACTACGCCACCAGGGCTCCATACTGGTACCAGAAGCCCATCAAAACAAAGGAATGAGGGCTGGTTTCCAAGCTCAAACTTCGTTCTTCCGTGCCTGTCACATACCCCTTTCAGGCGTCACCAACAGACATCCCTCTCAGTTCCAATATCTCCAGGAGTGTGGGTTTGGTCTTGCTGCCTAGTGCCATTCCATCTCCCACTAAGGGTCTTTCTATGTGGGTAACTGTGAAAGTTCTCATGGAAAGCACTCATTCACTTGGTAATTTTAGAACAATTTTCTGTAACGTAGGGCCTCACAGAAGCCCATTTCCTGCTTGCAGGACCCAGTGTAATTTAATGGGAAAATGTTTCCATTTCTGTAGTTCCGGCATTTGTCGTGCATATGATTAACACATCCCTCCCATGTAAAGGGATGCTCAGAATCATGTCATCTCAGAACTGGGAGGGGACATCGGATACCACATTATGCAAGCGGCTTATTTTACAGATGGGAAAGTGAGGCCCCTAAATCACAAGCACTAAGAACCTGGATAATCATAGTAAGACAACTGGTGCCAGGCCCTATGCCAGAAGCTTCCATTCACAGTTTACTACTGCTCGCAGCGGCCTCTGATGCGGGGCTGACCGGCTCCCTCTTTGCTGAGGCAGACACGGAAGCTCCAGGAAAGTGTTATGGGTTGAACCACGTCCCTCAAAAAATACGTTGAAGTCCTAAGCCCTTAACCTGTGAATGTGACCTTGCTTAGAAAAAATAGAAGATTTTCTTTGCAGATGTTCTCAGTTAAATTAACGAGGTCACGCTGGAATAGGGAAGGTCTTCATCCCTTCTGAGTAGCGTCCCACAAAGGAGAGGACAGACAGTGGTAGAGCCACATACAGGGGGAGGACACCACGTGAGGACCCGACTACAACCTAGGAATGCCAAGAGACGCCCGGGGCTCGCAGAACTTAGAGATGAGGAAGGATCTTCCCCCGGAGCCACAGAGAGAGCATGGTCCTGCCAATGCTCTCAGGGCTTCTAGCTCTAGAGCTGTGAGACGTCAAAGGTCTGTTCTTTTCAGCCACCCACTTGGTGTACCTGGTTATGGCAGCACTAGGAAGCCAAGACGGAGGGTCAGCCACACAGCCAGTCACCCACGTCTGTCTGCCACTAAAGGCCCCGCTCTTTCCACTCTGCCCTGCATCTCCCCAGAACACGGCCCCTCCACGCTGCCCAGTGTACACGGGATCAACTTCTTCCTGAACACCTACAGTGGAATGGATGCAGTGAAAAGCGTCCTATTCCTAGGAAGTGGGTCTTTCTAAGGTCCCAGATGAAGACAGAATAAGAACTCAGGCTTTGTGACTCTGGGCCCTGAGATCACAGCATAACACCTTCACAGGTTCAAAGAGGAAGATGCTGCTCAAAGAAAATTATCAAAGTAAATACTTGGAAAGAAAGTTCTAAAGCAACAGGCAAAAATGTGGGTTCTCATGTCTGACAGGGCGCCCCTGAAGGTGGCAAAGGCACCAGACAAACAACCGTTGAGAAGAGACCTCACCTGGGTGAAGTACGTCCTGGAAGAGTTGGAGCCGAGGAGCTTGCTCTCAATGTGCTGCTGCACCCGTTCCAGGATGCTGTCCTCATGCAGGAAGTGGACTTCATGCTTGGTGGGGTGCACGTTGACATCCACGTTCTGGGGGCTGATTTCTAAGCTGGCAGGAAGTAAGTCAACAATTACCTTGGATGGTGGAAGAAGGGGTAAAATTCCACACGTGGTAACACGTGAGGGCCAGAAGACATGCAGAGGCCAAATGACATAGGGCTCAAAACCTCAAGGTCAAGTCTGAGTGACTGGGTTCAAATGCTGGCTCTGCCACTAAGAGCTGTGTAGCTTTGGGCAAGTTACATCATCTTCCTTTGCCTCAGTTTCCTTGCCTGTAGAGGTAACAGCACTACTTATGTCACAGTTTATGGTGGGGATTACATGCATGCAAAGTACTTTCCATGTACCTGGCCCCCTCACTATGTCAGCTAATATCATCATTCTAAAACTAGTGAAATCTTTTATTATTTGACCTTATGTACGTTACTTCTCTGGATCTGTTTTCTCAGCTATAAAGGAGGGGCAACCTTAAACCTGTCTCCTGCTTACTTTTCTAGATTATACAAGGATCAAACAAAAACATGTGAAAGAACTTTCTACCATTAAAATGTAACATAAGTCAGTTAAAAGAGTCTGTGCCAGCTATCAATTTACTGCCTTTTAACTCCAAATCTTTCTGTCACTCCTGGTAATGAAGCTTGGCAAAGTGAGGCTTTGTCCGTGGAGGGTGCTGGAGGGCTCTGGATGAGGAAAATTCATTCTTCTAGAGGGTTCCTGAAGTGTGCGGTTCTTCCACAGTGCCATGCAGCCAGCACCACGTGGCACCTTCTCTCTCCTGTCACTGCCTCAGGTGGCTCTGCCACTAGTGGAGCACTGCATCGACCTGGCCACCATCCAGCAAGCACAGAGGCATCATCTTCAGCCAGGTTTGCATCTCAGCCCCGAAGGAGGGGGCGAAGGCGGCTTCCCGGGGTGTCACATCTCAGCGCTGGGGCGATGGCTGCTCCCCACATACACTATTTCTGTCCCTTTACCTCTTACTAGCCAAGCCACATGACTCCCATCCCTGGCTTAACAGTGCTTCATATTAAACTAGGAGCCCTGGTGACGCACTGGGTACAGCAGTTGGACGCTAACCAAAAGGTCAGTGCTTCCAGCCCACCAGCTGCTCTGTGGGAAGAAGATGCAGCAATCTACTTCTGTAAAGACTGCAGCCTTGGAAACCCTATCGGGCAGTTCCACTCTGTCCTACAGGGTCGCTATGAGTTGGACTCGACTCGACGGCAGTGGGTTTGGGTTTGGGTTTATGTTAAACTTCCCCTGTTCAAATGACTCACTGCTTCTGTCCTCTGATTAAAAGATGGAACAAGTGATAACCCGACTAGCTCATTATCTAGTGGAAATCATGAGGGATTCAACAATTCTGTATTTAACCTAAAAACTACTTTTAATCCTAAAAACCTGTTTTTACCCTACATTTCAACCAAAACTAGATCAAAAAATTAACTTTCTAACACAGTAACTTCTCTTCAGAGGGCGAAGGTCGCAGACTGAAGCCATTTTAGTATAAGCCACGCCTTGTACAAAGACAGCCCTGTTACTGAGGGTGATCTCTCGTCACGCTGTGGTAAGAATGCTAAGAAGGTTAACTGGACAAGCCCTGGGGACATCCTCCGGAAGTCAGCTCCCAGATTCTAAGTCCCTGTAGGGCAGGGGAACCTCACAGTCTGTATTTCCAATACCTACGAGGAGCCCTGGCCTGTATACTGCTCACAGTAAGACTGCTGAATTGTTTAAATTGCACCTTGGAGCACTCAACAGCTGGCTAGGTTAGCCAAGGCAACAGTCTCCATAGAGTCGAAGACTGCCTTTCACGCCAGGAAGGAAAACCACGCCATCACAGCTGCTGCGGCTTCCTGGGTGGACAGCAAGCAGCATTAGTGATACTCAGAGATCCCCAGGTGGACCAGCAGCAGTAGTGATACTCAGAGCTTCCCGGGTGGACCAGCGGCAGCAGTGATACCCAGAGCTTCCCGGGTGGACCAGCGGCAGCAGTGATACTCAGAGCTTCCCGGGTGGACCAGCGGCAGCAGTGATACTCAGAGCTTCCCGGGTGGATCAGCGGCAGCAGTGATACTCAGAGCTTCCCGGGAGGACCAGCGGCAGTAGTGATACCCAGAGCCTCCTGAGCTCATTTCTGTCTCTACACTGCTCACAAGTTGCTGGCCCACTAGACACATCCTTCACCTCTGTATCACCAACACGGGGCCTAGCACATAGCAGGCTCTCAGTGAGGTGCTGACAAATGAGTGTGTGAAGGAAGGAAAGCGACACCTTTAACCTGTGAGAAGGGATAGAACACCCTTTGCCAGCGGTGGGTGGCGTTCATTCAGATCGGGGGGACCCTTCTGAAGAGGAGAGCCTGAAAGCATTTCTGTCCCTTCTAAGTCTTGGATGAAGAGTCTGGTGTGCGTTACCTGAGGTACAGGAACGGGTGCGTGTTTTTGGGCAGATATGCTGCATACACCGTTTCTATGGCTTTTCTCAAGGAAGCTGATTCTACCAGACGATCTAAAACATAAAAGGAAAGTGATTGACTCAAGATGTCCCAAGTGGTGAAGTCACAAGTGCCCACTCACACAGTGCCATGAAGTCACCTGGGAAGGAAGGACACCTCTCGGGTGACATCCACATCAGACCCTGTTGCTGCCCAATTCGGGCCCCAGGGAGGAAGGGCCCCGGTGGTCTGTCACTGCTTCCCAGCCTCTCACGTGGCGTCTTCTCTTACACAAGTAGCAGAAACACGACAGGGCGGTTAAGTTCTGCCTCCAACAGCACCCACCCCTCCCTCCACCAGCCAGGCTGACTACCTTTTGCCCTTGATGGGCATGGTGGGCAGCATGGAAACAGCTCTCAGACTTCTCATTTTGCAAACACACACTGGCTACCTATTACACGTGCTTAGTGCTGGGGGCAATATGCTTGTGAATACATGAGTTCCAACCCCACGGGGCAGGTACTACAGAGACGTGCATGCTAAATAATGGGACCGGGGGGTCTCAACAGCGGGATCTCCTAACTGGGTAATGACGGATAAGTCTCAGGCAGCACAAATGTCTGAATGTGTGTGTTTAAGGTAATTTAAGAAACCAGGTAAGCTTGAGGGGACGGAAAACAACTAGAGCTACAGGAGAGATAAGACAAGATTGGAAGACGATCTGTTTTCAGAAAACAGGGCTCTCCCTTCTCCCCCAACAGATTTTAGATGACCTGCTGATGACCCGTTGCCCCGCGTCCTCTTATTCCCAATGAGAAGAGCAGCTGTGACGTGACCCATGAGAGACTGTCATTCTTTGAAGGCTCACCACACCCCCGGCCCTTCAGTAACTCAGCGTGCTCTGTAACACGTGTCCTGGGCACACAGGCCCGGAGCAGGAGCAGGCACCTGACGAAGGGACAGCCGGAGCCCATGTGAAGGCTCACCACACCCCTGGCCCTTCAGTAACTCAGCATGCTCTGTAACATGCATCCTGAGCGCACGGGCCTGGAGCAGGAATGGGCGCCTGACGAAGGGACAGCCGGAGCCCACGTGAAGGCTCACCACACCCCCGGCCCTTCAGTAACTCAGCATGCTCTGTAACATGCATCCTGAGCACACAGGCCGGGAGCAGGAGTGGGCGCCTGACGAAGGGACAGCCGGAACCCATGTGAAGGCTCACCACACCCCCGGCCCTTCAGTAACTCAGCATGCTCTGTAACATGCATCCTGAGCACACGGGCCTGGAGCAGGAGTGGGCGCCTGACGAAGGGACAGCCAGGGCCCACGTGCTGAGACTGCTGCACCTGGGACAGGCCACAGGCGGGCTCCGAGTGAGGCTGCACAGGGCGCAGACTACAGTCGCCCCCCCGGCCCCGCGTGTGAGGTTCCGCTTTCCGCAGTCTTAGTTAGCCTTGGTCAACCTCGGCCCAAAAACTTAAAACGAGTACGTAGACTGAGGATATCTCACACCGCCCCACTCCATCATTCACACAGCATTCATTACAGTATATTGTTATAATTGTTCTATTTTATTATTATTGCTGTTAATGTCTCACTATGCCTAATTTACAAATTAAACATAATCATAGGTACATATGAGTAGGACAAATCATAGCATGTATAGGGTTTAGTACTATCCTCGGTTTCAGGCATCCACGGGGGGTCTTGGAACAGACCCTCTGCGGATAAGGGGGGGGCTACTGTGCTGAATAAATACCCTCTCGCCTTGAAAACACCATGCTGAGCAAAAAAGTCAGCTGCAAAAGGACAAATACTGTACGATCTCATGTATATGAAAGAAGCAAACACACAGAAAACAAAGATTATTAGTGGTCACCAGGTGGGGGATGGAGGTTGTCATGGTTTGAATTATGTCCCCCCAAAAATGTGTGTGTCAATTTGGCTGGGCCATGATTCCCAGAATTGTGTGGTTGGCCTCCATTTTGTGATTGTAATTTTATGTTAAAGAGGATTAGAGTGGGATTGTAACACGGCCATGACCCAGGTCACATCCCTGATCCAATGTAAAGGGAGTTTCCCTAGGGTGTGGCCTGCACCACCTTTTTTACCTTAATAAAGATAAAAGGAAAGGGAAGCAAGCAGAGAATTGGGGACCTCATACCATCAAGAAAGCAGTGCCGGGAGCAGAGCGTGTTCTTTGGACCCAGGGTCCCTACGCGGAGAAGCTCCTAGTCTGGGGGAACACTGATGAGAAGGCCAAGAGAGAGAGAAAGCCTTCCCCTGGAGCTGACACCCTGAATTTGGACTTTTAGCCTACTTTACTGTAATGAAATAAACTTCTCTTTGTTAAAACCATCCACCTGTGGTATTTCTGTTATAGCAGCACTAGATGACTAAGACAGAGGGGAAAAGGGTTTTTTGCTTAGGGGACATTGAGTTTATGTTAATGGTGGTGGAATAATTTGGAAAAGAATAGTGATAATAGTTGTACAACATGAAGAATATAACCAACGCCACTGAATCTTACATGTAGAAATGACTGAATTGGCGAATGTTTTGTTGGGTGTAATTTCACCACAATACAAACTAAAAAAAAAGTCTGACCTGTCTTTGCTACTGGAAACTTAGTTAAAGCAGAGGCCGTGTGGTAAACAGCCCCACCAGAAGCACTGATACAGGCTCATCAGATGGCATTTACACTGATTTCTGCTTATCTCTGGTGGAGCAGTGGTTAAGAGCTCCTCGGCTGCTAACCAAAACATCGCCAGTTCAAATCCACCAGCCACTCCTTGGAAACCCTATGGAGCAGTTTACTCTGTCCTATAGGGTCACTATGAGTTGGAATTGACTCGACGGCAATGGTTTTTTCTTTTTTTTTTTAACTCTGTAGTTAACACGTGTGTTACAAAGCAGATATCATTTCTTTTTCATGATTAGGATGAAAACATTTTTTAAGCCTTGATGAAAGCAAGCTTTGTTTATGTTGGGCTTAATTCCTCCCTAACAAAAGAGAAAATCCTGCTAATATCAATCATTCTAACAGACTGTGTTTACACAATGACTGGCTCTCTTCACTGCTCCTGTACTGCCCTGAGCAACTGCTGTAAAACATGCCTAATTAAGACACTCATAGCTGGTTACTGCTCCTTAGAAGTTAGGATGGCGAGACTTCATCTCACGTACTTTGGACGTGTTATCAGGAAGGACCAGTCCCTGGAGGAGGACATCATGCTCTGTAAGGCAGAGGGTCAGCAAAGAAGAAGAGCCTCAACAAGATGGACTCACACAGCGGCTGCAACAATGGGCTCAAACATAGCCATGATCATGAGAATGGCGCAGAAGTGGGCAGGGTTTTGTTCTGTTGTACGTAGGGTTACTATGAGTCGGAACTGACTCGACAGCACCCAACAATACTGCTATAAATGGAAAGGTGGAATAGCAAACGAACAAAACAAAAATAAGAAAACTATAAAATAATTATAAATTGCTTTAAACAATAAAGTTAGAGAGGCGGGGCCAAGATGGCAGAGCAGTCAGATGCTTCCGATAGACCCTCTTACAACAAAGACCCAAAAAAACAAGTGAATCAATTATATACGACAATCTAGGAACCCTGAACATCTAAAGCAAAGTTGAGAAACCAGACTGAGTAGCAGGGGAGGGAGAGACAGTTTGTAAGCAGCTAGGAGTTGCCAGACCTGACCTGATGAGAGCCTGAGCCCTTCAGGCCTTAGCAGCTCGTGGGTGAGCGGTGAGGCAGGCAAGCAGCGGTGCTCAGGAAGAGCGTTTTCCACACCTGGAGAGACCCAGCTCTAGAGAGTCTACACAGCCACCCAGAACCAGTGAGAAGCAGCCCTTGATCGGCAAAAGATAAGTACTTGCGTACGGCCTACTGTGTGGATCAAAAACATCCCCCTTAGGGAAAAACTTCTCTCCCATTTACCTCCGCGCTCCCTGCTCTGCACCAGGTCCTGGACCGGCTTCAGCAATTGCCAAGTCCCCAGGGCTGGAAGTAGGATCCATCACATGCCCTGAGCCATTCTCCCGGCCTTGGAGAGTGAACAATTTAACAAACAGGAAAAAAGAAATAACTGCCAGCTCCCCTAAGCCAGGAACCCAGGGTAGGCATAGCTCCTTTGCCTAGGCACAGGCATAAGGGATCCACAGACTTTGAGTGCCTTCCCCCCTGCAGAGACTTGTGTGGGCACATTTCAACAGCGTAGGCCCTCATTACCACAATACAACAGGGTATATACCTGAAGTCTAACTTCAACTGTTTCAGCTGTGAAGTGGCAGGTTCATGGCATTTGACCCTGCTCTGCCCATTAAGCAGGGTCTTCACCTACCCACATGAGGGGCCTGAGGACTGGTGGCTCCACCCACGCCACCTAGCCACCTACGATAGGGGCCCAAGAATAAGAGGTGCCCCCAGTCCTTACAGCCAACAGCACTGGGGGCTCATAGTCTGGCTGCAAAACCCACCCACCTATGTGCTCTAGGGAACAGGGACACGCCTTCCTCCTGGATACTCGGGGGCAGCTGTCAGCCCCATGCCTTGCTTGGAGTGTGTCCCCCTGTTGCAGCCAGATGCCTGTGCCTAGACCAATCACCCATGCCTGTCTAGGACTGTAAGTGAGAGCCTACACCACACACTTGGTGACTGCCTACCTGGGCACCTGAGCTGAATCCATATAAGAGGAGTGGGTGGACTCCTGA